AAAAGCTAAAAGTTAAAACTCTATTAGGCAGAACAAACTACCCCAACAAGTTCCGGAAGCAGAAGAGTAGTCATAGTTAACCTTTCTTTGTTCATCGCATGATTTTACAAGCATTTTGCTCCATCTGTATTGCATCTATGTATTAATGTAATTCCATTGTGTAACTTTGATATGCATGCAAAGATTAAAAAACTAACACCCAGAATGGGAGAAAAGAAATAGCAGACCTTTGATCACTTTGGCTAAAATTCACGCCATTTTTTGAGCATAGGGTTTCACTGATAGAATTTAGCCTTATGAAGTTTGTTGAATAATAACTTAATAATCCTTGGTGGAATGTGGTTGCTAATTCATTTCATGCTACTGGTTTACTTGAGGATTCTGACTGATTGTTCGTTCATCATTATCATGGCAGGAAGGCCTTACAAATAAAAATTGCTACTACTATAGAGATTAACCATGGCTTTATTTGGTTAGAATTGCCTATCAGAAGATAATTTGACTAGAGGTCTGGGCAAATCATCTCCTATAATCGTTTTTGTGGGGAAGGGGAAGGGGCTGTGGCAGGGGCACGTTTCATGTATCTGAATCTGAAGTCGAATGCCTCTTTATCAATAATATCTTGACTCTTCTTTAGATTATGAAGAGTGCCTTGCAGTTGATACTGGAGTGAAGTTAGTAGCAGTAGTTCGGGTATCTAGTTGGCAGCATCTCCTTTTGGAGATCTCTTTTCTTCGTACACACCTCCGTTCTATATAATAACTTTCATGAATCTGATGCTGCTGAAAAGTTAGCATATTCTGTCTCAGCGTGTTCTAATTCAGAGACTGGCCGGTTGAAGCACCATTGGATGCCTTTTGAGCTCTAAGAAATCTCAGTATTTTAATATATATCAGTACATTTTTCTCTTCATTATAGGTGGTGGATCATACTACGCATGACTTCATCAAGGAACATGGAGTCCTCTTTTCAATTGATGAGTAGCCATGTACATTCATCAGAAGCTGGTTCAGATAATTCTCATGCCGCAAAGACAAGGAATGCAGGAGATGTCATTTCTGGAAAGTGTTAAAACTTTCCATACCTGGCAGCAAATATTCTGGCTTTGCATTCTCATTTTTGTACTATGCTATTACATTCTGATCATGTGTACTCTTCACACGATTTACTATTTTCATCTTTGACAAAATTGCACATAAGAGAGTAGACTAAATAAACAAATGTTGTTATTATCGCAGTTTCAGTTGGTTTCATCAAAATTTTTGACATTTCAGATTTAAGTATAGTTTGAGTGGTAAAAGCAGAAACTTACTTTTTTAACTGGACTTGAACACAAAATTCAGTTGAAAAACTTCATTGGCCAAGTGAAATGCAAGGACCTTGGAGTCAGTCCATCAAGCCCGAGTGACCAACCATTTACACGTGCATTGTTGGAGTTCGGATAAATGGTCTTCAAAGAATGGATAAATGGTCTTCAAAGAACTCAACATCTTCCTCTAACAATGCATTCCATGAATCAGTACTCATCCTGTAAACTGCATGGTGGCGATGTGCTACTGCCTCCATATTTCTCAAAATCCAGACAAGTCTGGATGTCAGTCACCTTGTAATCATTGCACCAAGGATCCAATCCGAATCCAAGATTATGCATAAATATCTCTACCTTGGGTGGAATGTCTTGATTACATTCTGGTAAAATTCTGAGTTCTTTTGTCACAGGACTTCATAAAGTTATGTGACAATTGATGTGCTCCCATAAAAAAAGATACTGGGGCAATTGTTGTGACAAATCTTGATGACAAACGTGTGTTTGATCAAAAAACAAGGGCATAACAAGTTTGTCTTGAATTATCATTATGGTAGCTAAGATGCTAGACACAAAACAGGTACTCAATTGAAAGTTTTTGGAATAGCTAAAGCCTTCCAGGGCTCTTGGAACCTTTTAGCCAAAAGTTTGTTTCCATCTCTTTTAATTTTCCTTTCACCTGAACATTTTTATTGACTGGTAGAATCTGGTACCAATAACACTTCCATTAAATACAACCAACCTGCCTTATAGAGCAGTGATTGGAACAACTTAATGTGGTGGCATTCTCATTAGATTTTCACCTATAAATCCATGCTATGTTTTGCAAACACCAATATCATTTCCAATAAATTGATAATTGCATATCAGTATTTTAGGCCAACTGCAAGAAACTGTGATCAGTGTTTCCTGCTTGTATGCCTACAGTTTTTAATCATCTATTCATCTACAATAACATTATGTAAAAACTTAAAAGCTGTAAGTCAACAATACAATAACACTCAACTAAACAAAATTTCCCTTTTGGAACAAACAAGGGCAGTTTTTGAATTGATAAATGAAAATTTGTTCACAAAATTCGAAGCACTACCATTTTCATGAAAATAAAAATCAAGTAAAGCATGATAAAAGCTAAACTCTTCCAGTAATCCTAAGACCTTGGCTTCTCCTTCTTCTCTTTGAAAAGAGCAAGAAGAGACACACCAGATACCTTAACAACCTTGAACCTGACTCCGGGAATATCTCCCACAGCATGCCCTTTTCGTCCAAATCCTGCAATCAAAACCTCATCCTGCACCAACCAAACCATACATGGTATTAGGAAACACTGAAAAGAAGGCATTATCATCTACAGCAGGCTTTTACAATTTTCTTTAACTAACAAATAATGCGTGTAGATAACACCCCAGATACTTGAGAAGAGTAAACCAAAGACAAAAACAGGAATCAAAAATCTGAAAAGAGTAATGGCAAAAAACCAGAAAATGTATATAACTTACATTTTCCTCGATATAGTTTAAGCAACCATCATTGGGTACAAAAGCAGCAATTTTCTTTCCATTCTTGATCAGCTGAACACGAGCGCATTTTCGGATAGCAGAGTTAGGCTGCTTAGCTTCAATGCCACTGCAAAAGCCAATTACCAAATTGTCAAGTTCTGATCCAATTCAAGCACCATCTCCTTCATCATTACCCTTAAAACTTAACTTAGTTCTTACATTTTCTCAAGAACTATGCCTTTGGCATGTGAAGATCCAGCAAATGGTTTCTTCCATTCATTTCCCAGATTGGACTTCTTATATGCCTTGTCAGCCCACCTTTGCCTCCTACGGTGGGTTCTAAGCTTACGACCAGCTCCCATTCCACGAGCTTCCTGCACAACACTCATTTTGTCAGCTATTTTCCCCAAAATATAACACAATCACCTACAAAAGGTATCCACCAATCCAAATCATTAAAAAAAATCCCTTGAAGGACAGCAATCTTCAAGATACATAAGCATCACAAAAGAAGAGCTTAAAAGTCGGACATAGTACATGACCTAATCCAACCTAATGGTTCAGAAGTTCATTAACCATTCCTTTTCCTAAGTTTCTAAGAACATACTAACACAGTTTTTTACATTCCATTGCCTTCTTCCACGATTTTCCCATCAACCAAACAGGTAATTAAAGACATTTTGACCCCCAAATTCCATAACTTTATCACCAACCAAACA